ATGAGTATGGGTCTCTGGGTCTCTATGAGTGTGGATCTCTGTGTGTCTCTGAGTATGGGTCTCTGTGTGTCTCTATGAGTATGGGTCTCTGTGGGTCTCTGTGGGTCTCTATGAGTATGGGTCTCTGTGGGTCTCTATGAGTATGGGTCTCTGTGGGTCTCTATGAGTATGGGTCTCTGTGGGTCTCTATGAGTGTGGATCTCTGTGTGTCTCTGAGTATGGGTCTCTGTGTGTCTCTATGAGTATGGGTCTCTGTGGGTCTCTGTGGGTCTCTATGAGTATGGGTCTCTGTGGGTCTCTATGAGTGTGGGTCTCTGTGAGTCTCTATGAGTGTGGGTCTCTGTGTGTCTCTATGAGTATGGGTCTTCGTGGGTCTCTATGAGTATGGGTCTCTGTGAGTCTCTATGAGTATGGGTCTCTGTGAGTCTCTATGAGTATGGGTCTCTATGAGTATGGGTATCTGTGAGTCTCTATGAGTATGGGTCTCTGTGGGTCTCTATGAGTATGGGTCTCTGTGAGTCTCTATGAGTATGGGTCTCTGTGGGTCTGTATGAGTATGGGTCTCTGTGAGTCTCTATGAGTATGGGTCTCTATGAGTATGGGTATCTGTGAGTCTCTATGAGTATGGGTCTCTGTGGGTCTCTATGAGTATGGGTCTCTGTGAGTCTCTATGAGTATGGGTCTCTGTGGGTCTCTATGAGTGTGGGTCTCTGTGGGTCTCTATGAGTATGGGTCTCTGTGGGTCTCTGAGTATGGGTTTCTGTGGGTCTCTATGAGTGTGGGTCTCTGTGGGTCTCTATGAGTGTGGGTCTCTGTGGGTCTCTATGGGTATGGGTCTCTGTGGGTCTCTATGAATATGAGTCTCTGTGGGTCTCTGAGTATGGGTCTCTGTGGGTCTCTATGAGTATGGGTCTCTGTGGGTCTCTATGAGTGTGGGTCTCTGTGGGTCTCTGTGGGTCTCTGAGTATGAGTCTCTGTGGGTCTCTGAGTATGGGTCTCTGTGGGTCTCTATGAGTGTGGGTCTCTATGAGTATGGGTCTCTGTGGATCTCTATGAGTGTGGGTCTCTGTGTGTCTCTATGTGTCTCTGTGTGTCTCTGTGGGTCTCTGTGGGTCTCTGTGGGTCTCTGTGGGTCTCTGTGGGTCTCTACGGGTCTCTGTGTGTCTCTGTGTGTCTCTCTGTGTGTCTCTACGGGTCTCTGTGTGTCTCTGTGTGTCTCTCTGTGTGTCTCTACGGGTCTCTGTGTGTCTTTGTGTGTCTCTGTGTGTCTCTGTGGGTCTCTGTGGGTCTCTGTGGGTCTCTGCGGGTCTCTGCGGGTCTCTGTGTGTCCCTGTGTGTCTCTGTGGGTCTCTGTGAGTATGGGTCTCTGTGGGTCTCTATGAGTATGGGTCTCTGTGGGTCTCTATGAGTGTGGGTCTCTGTGGGTCTCTATGAGTATGGGTCTCTGTGGGTCTCTATGAGTATGGGTCTCTGTGGGTCTCTATGAGTGTGTGTCTCTGTGTGTCTCTGTGTGTCTCTGTGTGTCTCTACGGGTCTCTGTGTGTCTCTACGGGTCTCTGTGTGTCTCCGTGTGTCTCCGTGTGTCTCCGTGTGTCTCTCTGTGTGTCTCTACGGGTCTCTGTGTGTCTCTGTGTGTCTCCGTGTGTCTCCGTGTGTCTCTGTGTGTCTCTGTGTGTCTCTCTGTGTCTCTATGTGTCTCTGTGTGTCTCTGTGTGTCTCTGTGTCAGCGTCTGAATGAAGAACAGGTCTGTCGGGGAAGACAGCGTCTCGATTCTCGTGCCGGTGGCGACGTCACCGTCGGAGCGACGCTGGGGGTAGTTCACTGGCGTCGGCGCTCACCGCCTTGCGCTGCTGCTTGGCCTCGGCGTGGTAGCGCGCCAGGCTGCCCACCACGCGCTCCGCCAGCGTGTCGGCGAGCAGCTCGCGGTGCCCGGCACAGTCGCCCAGCTGCTGCAGCGTCGCAAAGAAGGCGCGGCAAGACGTGTAGCTGGGGCAGGGGCACGAGGGGGGGGGGGGGGGGGTCACAGGGTGGGGGGTGGGGGTCACTCACAGGGTGACACTCACAGGGTGTCACTCACAGGGTGTAGGTGTCACTCACAGAGACACGTGGGGTGTGGGTGTCACTCACAGTGAGTGGGTGACACTCACAGAGACACGTGGGGTGAGGGTGTCACTCACAGTGGGTGACACTCACAGAGACACGTGGGGTGAGGGTGTCACTCACAGTGAGTGGGTGACACTCACAGAGACACGTGGGGTGTAGGTGTCACTCACAGTGGGTGACACTCACAGAGACACGTGGGGTGAGGGTGTCACTCACAGTGGGTGTCACTCACAGAGACACGTGGGGTGTAGGTGTCACTCACAGTGGGTGACACTCACAGAGACACGTGGGGTGAGGGTGTCACTCACAGTGAGTGGGTGTCACTCACAGAGACACGTGGGGTGTAGGTGTCACTCACAGTGGGTGTAGGTGTCACTCACAGTGGGTGACACTCACAGAGACACGTGGGGTGTAGGTGTCACTCACAGTGGGTATAGGTGTCACTCACAGAGACACGTGGGGTGTAGGTGTCACTCACAGTGGGTGTAGGTGTCACTCACAGTGAGAGGGTGTCACTCACAGTGAGTGGGTGACACTCACAGAGACACGTGGGGTGTGGATGTCACTCACAGTGGGTGACACTCACAGAGTCACGTGGGGTGTGGGTGTCACTCACAGTGGGTGACACTCACAGAGTCACGTGGGGTGAGGGTGTCACTCACAGTGGGTGACACTCACAGAGTCACGTGGGGTGAGGGTGTCACTCACAGTGGGTGACACTCACAGAGTCACGTGGGGTGTGGGTGTCACTCACAGTGGGTGACACTCACAGAGTCACGTGGGGTGAGGGTGTCACTCACAGTGGGTGACACTCACAGAGACACGTGGGGTGAGGGTGTCACTCACAGTGAGTGGGTGACACTCACAGAGACACGTGGGGTGTAGGTGTCACTCACAGTGGGTGACACTCACAGAGACACGTGGGGTGAGGGTGTCACTCACAGTGGGTGTCACTCACAGAGACACGTGGGGTGTAGGTGTCACTCACAGTGGGTGACACTCACAGAGACACGTGGGGTGAGGGTGTCACTCACAGTGAGTGGGTGTCACTCACAGAGACACGTGGGGTGTAGGTGTCACTCACAGTGGGTGTAGGTGTCACTCACAGTGGGTGACACTCACAGAGACACGTGGGGTGTAGGTGTCACTCACAGTGGGTATAGGTGTCACTCACAGAGACACGTGGGGTGTAGGTGTCACTCACAGTGGGTGTAGGTGTCACTCACAGTGAGAGGGTGTCACTCACAGTGAGTGGGTGACACTCACAGAGACACGTGGGGTGTGGATGTCACTCACAGTGGGTGACACTCACAGAGTCACGTGAGGTGTGGGTGTCACTCACAGTGGGTGACACTCACAGAGTCACGTGGGGTGAGGGTGTCACTCACAGTGGGTGACACTCACAGAGTCACGTGGGGTGAGGGTGTCACTCACAGTGGGTGACACTCACAGAGTCACGTGGGGTGTGGGTGTCACTCACAGTGGGTGACACTCACAGAGTCACGTGGGGTGAGGGTGTCACTCACAGTGGGTGACACTCACAGAGTCACGTGGGGTGTGGGTGACACTCACAGTGGGTGGGTGACACTCACAGTGGGTGACACTCACAGAGACACGTGGGGTGTGGGTGTCACTCACAGGGTGTGGGTGTCACTCACAGTGAGTGGGTGTCACTCACAGAGACACGCGGGGTGAGGGTGTCACTCACAGTGAGTGGGTGACACTCACAGTGGGTGGGTGACACTCACAGTGGGTGACACTCACAGAGACACGTGGGGTGTGGGTGTCACTCACAGTGAGTGGGTGTCACTCACAGAGACACGCGGGGTGAGGGTGTCACTCACAGTGAGTGGGTGACACTCACAGAGGCACGTGGGGTGAGGGTGTCACTCACAGTGAGTGGGTGTCACTCACAGAGACACGTGGGGTGAGGGTGTCACTCACAGTGAGTGGGTGACACTCACAGAGACACGTGGGGTGCAGGTGTCACTCACAGTGGGTGACACTCACAGAGACACGTGGGGTGAGGGTGTCACTCACAGTGGGTGGGTGACACTCACAGAGACACGTGGGGTGCAGGTGTCACTCACAGTGGGTGACACTCACAGAGACACGTGGGGTGAGGGTGTCACTCACAGTGGGTGGGTGACACTCACAGAAACACGTGGGGTGAGGGTGTCACTCACAGTGAGTGGGTGACACTCACAGAGACACGTGGGGTGTAGGTGTCACTCACAGTGGGTGACACTCACAGAGACACGTGGGGTGTGGGTGTCACTCACAGTGGGTGTCACTCACAGTGGGTGTCACTCACAGAGACACGTGGGGTGTGGGTGACACTCACAGTGGGTGGGTGACACTCACAGAGACACGTGGGGTGTGGGTGACACTCACAGGGTGTGGGTGACACTCACAGAGTCACGTGGGGTGTAGGTGTCACTCACAGGGTGTGGGTGACACTCACAGAGTCACGTGGGGTGTAGGTGTCACTCACAGGGTGTGGGTGACACTCACAGAGTCACGTGGTGGGTGGGTGACACTCACAGGGTGGGGGTCGGTCACCCCCTTAGCTTCCCGTGTGACGCTTTTTTTTTTTAACTAAAACTCAACTCATGAAACATTTATCTTACCTGAACACATTTTCAAACCGAAACTAAATAACAAAAAAATGTCGAAACTAAAATTGTTTTTTAAAAACTAAATGAAGGTTGATATGCACTGTCCTTGAAGTTGATTGGTCCACACCCGAGACAGCTTTTCTTAGAGCCTAGTCTCCATTGGTGTTGGACCAGATGGTGTGTTGTCTTTGAGTTGTGCGCCTTTTGGCGTCATCTGGTCCAACACCATGTGAGACTAGGCTCTAAGAAAAGCTGTCTCGGGTGTGGACCAATCAACTTCAAGGACAGTGCATACATTATCAGAGTTGTGTTTTATTTGTGTCATCTGGTCCAACACCATGTGAGACTAGGCTCTAAGGAAAGCTGTCTCGGGTGTGGACCAATCAACTTCAAGGACAGTGCATACATTATCAGAGTTGTGTTTTATTTGTGTCATCTGGTCCAACACCATGTGAGACTAGGCTCTAAGGAAAGCTGTCTCGGGTGTGGACCAATCAACTTCAAGGACAGGGCATACATTATCAGAGTTGTGTTTTATTTGTGTCATCTGGTCCAACACCATGTGAGACTAGGCTCTAAGGAAAGCTGTCTCGGGTGTGGACCAATCAACTTCAAGGGCAGTGCATATCATTATCATCATCAGAGTTTAATAGTAGGTTTTTACCCTTTTAACTGGTACAAAACTGACACCTTTATCATCAGAGTTGTTTCTTTTTGTTTGCATTTTGACTGCTTGTGTTGTGGTTATTGCAAACATGATGCCTGGTCAGTTTTTGTACCAGTTGAAAGGGTAAAAACTTGTCACTAAATGAAGGTTTTTTCATTTTCCGCACCAGCGGACCGTAGCCGGTTGTCGCCGCCACCGTGACCACCGGTACCGCGGTCGTTCACCGCGGCCGGCACCGGCAACGCCGGCTCGAAAACCCTCGCGACCTACGACGCCTGGCAAGCCAGCGTCCCCCCTCGCCGCGCCGGAGAGCTCCACTCACCTGTTCTCCTCCTCGGTGACGCGCTTGGGCAGGTACTTCTTCTGCAGGTTCCTGCGGGGCACAGCGCACACACGCATTGTGCGTGTGTTGTGTGCTGTGTGTGTTGCTGTGTGTGTGTTGCTGTGTGTGTGTTGCTGTGTGTGTGTGTGTTGCAGTGTGTGTGTGCGTGTGTTGTGCTGTGTGTGTGTGTGTTGTGCTGTGTGTGTGAGTGTGTGTGTTGCGGTGTGTGTGCGTGTGTGCGTGTGTTGTGCTGTGTGTGCGTGTGTTGTGCTGTGTGTGTTGCGTGTGTGTTGTGCTGTGTGTGTGTGTTGTGGTGTGTGTGTGTTGTGCTGTGTGCGTGTGTTGTGGTGTGTTGTGGTGTGTGTGTGTTGTGCTGCGTGTGTGTGTGTGTGTTGTGGTGTGTTGTGGTGTGTGTGTTGCTGTGTGTGTGTGTTGTGCTGTGTGTGTGTTGCTGTGTGTGTGTTGCTGTGTGTGTGTTGCTGTGTGTGTGTGTTGCAGTGTGTGTGTGTGCGTGTGTTGTGCTGTGTGTGTGTTGTGCTGTGTGTGTGTGTTGTGCTGTTTGTGTTGCGGTGTGTGTGTGTTGCCGTGTGTGTGTTGTGCTGTGTGTGTGTGTTGTGCTGTGTGTGTGTTGCATTGTGCGTGTGTTGCAGTGTGTGCGTGTGTTGTGCTGTGTGTGTTGCGGTGTGTGTGTTGCAGTGTGTGTGTGTGTTGCAGTGTGTGTGTGTGTGTTGCGGTGTGTGTGTGTTGCAGTGTGTGTATGTTGCGGTGTGTGTGCTTCCGTGTGTGTGTTGCGGTGTGTGCATGCATGTCCGTGTGTGCATGCATGCCCGTACGTGCGTACCCGTGCGTGTGCGTCCGTGTGCGTGCGTGCCCGTGCGTGTGTGCTTGCATGTGTACGCGTGCGTGCGTCCGTGTGCGTGCGTGTGCGTGCGTGTGCGTGCGCGTGCGTGCACGTGCGTGTGTGTCTGTGCGTGTGCGTGTGTGTCTGTGCGTGTGCGTGTGTGTCTGTGCGTGTGCGTGCGTGTCCGTGCGTGCACGTGCGTGTCCGTGCGTGCACGTGCGTGCGCGTGCGTGTGCGTGCCCGTGCGTGTGCGTGCGTGTGCGTGCCCGTGCGTGTGCGTGCGTGTGCGTGCGTGCGCTGTGCCCGCCTACCGCAGCTGCTTGGCGTAGGAGGCCTCCACATCGGCACGTTCGCGCACAAACTTGGAGAGCCGCTCCAGGAACTCGAGACCCCATCCAGTGTGGCGCTCCACCGCGTCAAACTGGTCCTGGGGGGGGGCAAGGGGGGGGGCGAGGGGGGGGCGAAGGGGGGGCGAGGGGGGGGGGCAAGGGGGACGAGGGGGGGACGAGGGGGGGGGGGCAAGGGGGATGAGGGGGGGGGACGAGGGGGGGTATTAGCGAGCTACGTTTGGGGGCACGTGGCTAACGAGTTACTGAGTTCAGCACCCGTCGGTTTTTGTTGTTGTTGTTGTCGTTGTTGTCGTTGTTATCGTTGTTGTTGTTGTCATTGTTGTTGTCGATGTTGTTGTTGTCGTGTGGTGTTGGGAGCGGCGGCGCAGCGGTGAGCGCCGCGCAACGAACCCGGCGACCCTGGGCTCGACTCCCGCTCACGGCCAACACCGCCGGTGACGATTATCAGGACCGGGCCTCCCCTAGGTCGACTCAGCCTCAAAACGCCATTCGCGGTGTCGTCACCACGACGCTTGTGCCAGGCCATGTGCACCTTGAGGCCACGTGAAGCGTTCGGCAAAAACAACCCCTCAACCTCCTAGTTTTGTGCCGGACGGGCAACGCTGTGGTGGGCAGAGGTCGCAACCGGGTACCCGATACCCGTACCCTACCCGATACCCGGCTACCTGTACCCAGCCGGGTACGGGTAGGCCGTGAGTCACTGGCGAGTCACCGTTTGTCACTCATTTCCCAACGTCTTGTCTCTTCTCACAATTCAAGTTCCTAGAATCAACCCACCCGCGCCTGCAACATGGCTTCATCCCAGAGGTCGCAATCAGGTACCCGATACCTGTACCCTACCCGATACCCGGCTACCCGTACCCGGCCGGGTACGGTACGGGTACGGGTAGCCGTTTGCGACCCTGGTGCGGCCGGGTACGGGTACGGGTAGGCCATGAGTCACTGGTGAGTCACCGATTGTCACTCATTTCGGGTAGGGTAGGGTACGGGTAGGATACGGCTACCTGTACCCGGCCGGGTACGGGTTACCCATTTGCGACCCTGGTGCGGCCGGGTACGGGTACGGGTAAGGAATCAAAACCCGTTTACGACCTCTGCCTGTGAGATCTTCACTCAAAACTGCTCTAGAGGAGGAGTTGTACACCCCTAGCTGACGCTGCTATTCAGCGGCCTAAAATCAAATGTTGTCGTTCAGGATGACGTATGATCTTGTGTTTTGATTTAGTGCGCTGATCTTTAAAGGTGCGTTTGAAAAATTGTTGATACCTCTACTGATGCTCCTGCTGTTGTTGAGTGACTCATGCAGCCAGCTATGGCTACAGGGTCTGGTGGTACATGTTGTTTATGTCGTTTATTGTGAAATTTCGGTCACAGTTCCTATGATCGCTGTTGTTTCATTGCTTTCATGGCTTTATTTTGGTGCATCATGGGATCTCCTTTGCCAGTACCAAAATATACTAATAGGGTTTTTCCCCTCTTTTCTGGCAACAAAACTGACACCTTTTGCAAGGAATCATGCTTACATTAACCACAATACCTGCAGTCAAATGCGTCATCTGGTCGAACACCATATGAGACTAGGCTCCAAAGAAAGCTGTCTCTGGTGCGGACCAATCAGTTTCAAAGACAATGCATACATTATCAGAGCATTGTTTTTTGTTCGCATTTGACTGCAGGTATTGTGGTTAATGTAAGCATGATTCCTTGCAAAAGGTGTCAGTTTTGTTGCCAGAAAAAAGGGGAAAAACCCTATTAGTATATTTTGGTGATTTCGAAAACGTTTTTTGGTTTGGCCATTGATGCTGCTAATCCTACATAATGCACGGGCACATTATGACTTTGAAACCCCCCGCCCACCACCTTCGCATTCCACAAGTAGTGACTAATCCCATACCTGCATTTCCCATAAATATGCTAAATTCCTCTTGATAGGCAAATTATTTTGTCAAGGCGCCCTTCCCCCCTTCCAACCCAGCAGCTTAAATATACGCTGCCAAGCCTGGTGGTGTCTCATTCAGACGCTGTCTTTCCGACAGACCTGGTCTTCACCTGAGGACGGCTGCTTGCGTTGTGGCCGAAACGTCGTGAGAATTGTATTTTATTATGTTTTATTTTTATTATTTTATTATTTCCCTTCTACGTGATGACTTTACCGAAAGAACCAAGAAGATTGGCCATGTTTGTTTGTTGTAGTACGGAGTTAGACTGATGGCTTTAATCTAAGTTGTCTTGTTGTTGTTGTTGTTTTTGTTTGACTTGCATCCCACTGGGATGTTTGCACAGCGTTGGTGTACGGTGATTTTTCTGCAATATTTTGCTGTCTTTTCCTGGATTTTCTGTTTGCACATAGTCACTTTAAGATGTTTTCTTGTTCATGTTTCATGTTTGTTGCGGTTGCACCCGATTCAAGAGCCGAATGGCTCACAGGGCTATACCAAATAAATGAAATTGAAAACCGAGATTGACAATCATCCTCATGGCGTCTGTGACCACCACAGCGGCCAAACGGGGGCTCTGGACGGGTGCGAGGGGCTGGTAACCCCTCCACCTTCAATCAACTACCACTAACGACATGTACACACACACACACGTGTACACGCAACAAAGATCCCCCGTGTAGCCTTAACAGACTGTAGGGGCAAGTGCTGTTAGCGAGCACCTATGAAGGCCGGTACGGCACACGAGGGGGTGGGTGGCCAGCACCACGCCCGACCGCCTTTGTCTCCCCAGTGGCGATGTTTACTACACACCGCACCAGGTACTCATTTCAGGCTGAGTCGACCTAGGGGAGGCCCAGGACCGGTTCAGATAATCGTCACCGGCGTTGGCCGTGAGCGGGAATCGAACCCGGGTCGCTGGGTTATTAGTGCAGCACGGCGCTAACCGCTGCACCACCGCTCCCCACAACAACAACAACCGCCATTCGCCACTAAGTGGCGGTGACGTCACCACGACGCTTGTGCCAGGCCACGTGCACCCTGAGGCTACCACGTGAAGTGTCGAACGCCCGCTGGCAGGAGGTCACGGGGCAGACCCAGCAGGTGCCACGGGTCGACTGACCGAGATGACCGAGATGACTGGCTGATGCACCACCTGTGCCCCCTACTGTGCCAACTTGCTGTGCTCCCCACACACACACAGACACACACACACACGCACACACACACACGGGGGAAACACACATCCCCAGCAATACACAGAGAGACAAGGCGATGTCTGTGATGTCTGAAGGGCTCACAACGCCCTGGACAATCACAACCGTCGCAGGATCAAGGGTACGGCAAGATAGGCGAGTGAGGGAGGGAGGGTGGGACACCCCTGGTGCCTTGAGCACCTAAGATTAGCGCGGTTTGGCTGGCTACGTACGGCGCGAAAGAAGTCCAGCTTACACACTATGCTAAACACTACATAATACACCACACTGTAACAAAAATATACTACGCTATTATACCACCACGACCACCACGACCAACACCACCACCACAACCACGACCACCACCACCATCACCACCACCATCACCACGACCACCAACACCACCACAACAACACTAACACACAACAACACACTAATAGACACATACTCGTAGAGACCCAAACTCAGACACCCAGAGAGACCCACACTCATAGAGACCTACAGAGACCCACACTCATAGAGACCCACAGAGACCCATACTCATAGAGACCCACAGAGACCCATACTCATAGAGACCCACAGAGACCCACTCATAGAGACCCACAGAGACCCATACTCATAGAGACCCACAGAGACCCATACTCAGAGAGACTCACAGAGACCCACTCATAGAGACCCACAGAGACCCATACTCATAGAGACCCACAGAGACCCACACTCACAGAGACCCACAGAGACCCACACTCATAGAGACCCACAGAGACCCACACTCATAGAGACCCACAGAGACCCACAGAGACCCACACTCACAGAGACCCACAGAGACCCACAGAGACCCACACTCATAGAGACCCACAGAGACCCACACTCATAGAGACCCACAGAGACCCATACTCATTGAGACCCATACTCATAGAGGCCCACATAGACCCACACTCAGAGACCCACAGAGACACTCACACACCTGTCTAACTCACACTCACACACCTGTCTGTCTGTGTGTCTCTCACTCCCCCACCCCGCGTATCTCCCCCGTGACGTCTCCGCCATCTCTGGCACTCACCCCACAGGTCCACACCCCACGCCACCACCCTCACCACCACCCTCACCACCCTCACCACCTCCCTAACCACCACCCTCACTACCACCACCCTCACCACCCTCACCACCACCCTCACCACCATCACCACCCTCACCACCCTCACCACTCACCCTCACTACCACCACCCTCACCACTCACCCTCACTACCACCACCCTCACTACCACCACCCTCACCACCACCCTCACCACCACCCTCACCACCCTCACCACCTGCCTAACCACCACCCTCACTACCACCACCCTCACCACCCTCACCACCACCCTCACCACCATCACCACCCTCACCACCCTCACCACTCACCCTCACTACCACCACCCTCACCACTCACCCTCACTACCACCACCCTCACCACCACCCTCACCACCACCCTCACCACCCTCACCACCTCCCTAACCACCACCCTCACTACCACCACCCTCACCACCACCCTCACCACTCACCCTCACCACTCACCCTCACTACCACCACCCTCACCACCACCCTCACCACCACCCTCACCACCATCACCACCCTCACCACCCTCACCACTCACCCTCACTACCACCACCCTCACCACTCACCCTCACTACCACCACCCTCACCACCACCCTCACTACCACCACCCTCACCACTCACCACCCTCACCACCATCACCACCCTCACCACCACCCTCACCACTCACCCTCATTACCACCCTCACCCTCACTACCATCACCACCACCCTCACTACCACCCTCACCCTCACTACCATCACCACCACCCTCACCACCACCCTCACCCTCACCACCATCACTACCCTCACCACCATCACTACCCTCACCACCATCACCACCCTCACTACCATCACCACCATCATCACCCTCACCACCACCCTCACCACTCACCCTCACTACCATCACCACCACCCTCACCACCACCCTCACCACCATCACCACCACCATCACCACTATCACCCTCACTACCATCACCACCACCCTCACCACCACCCTCACCCTCACTACCATCACTACCCTCACCACCATCACCACCCTCACTACCATCACCACCCTCACCACCATCATCACCCTCACTACCACCCTCACCACTCACCCTCACTACCATCACCACCACCCTCACCACTCATCCTCACCACCATCACCACCACCATCACCACCACCCTCACCACCACCACCACCACCCTCACCACCACCCTCACCACCACTCACCCTCACCACCCTCCCCCCCCCTCACCACCACCCTCACCACCACCAGCACTCACCACCCCCCTCACCACCCTCACCGCTCACAGTCACCCTCACCACTCCCCTTACCACCCTCACCACTCACCCTCACCACTCACCCTCACCACCACCCACCCTCACCACCCTCACCACCCTCACCACTCACCCTCACCACTCACCCTCACCACCCTCACCCTCACCACTCACCCTTACCACCCTCACCACTCACCCTCACCACTCACCCTCACCACCACCCACCCTCACCACTCACCCTCACCACCCTCACCACTCACCCTCACCACTCACCCTCACCACCACCCACCCTCACCACTCACCCTCACCCCCCTCACCACTCACCCACAGGTCCACCCCCCTCACCACTCACCCACAGGTCCACCCCCCTCACCACTCACCCTCACCACTCACCCTCACCACTCACCCTCACCACTCACCCTCACCACCCTCACCACTCACCCACAGGTCCACCCCCCTCACCACTCACCCTCACCACTCACCCTCACCACTCACCCTCACCACTCACCCTCACCACTCACCCACAGGTCCACCCCCCAGGCCATCGTCACTCCCTTCCGACTCCTCGTCCAACAGGCCCCCCCCGCGTGTCCCTCCCCAGGTGTGTGTGTGTGTCTGCCTGTGTGTGTGTCTGTGTGTGTGTGTCTGCCTGTGTGTGTCTCTCTGTCTGTGTGTCTCTCTGTGTGTGTCTCTGTACTTGTGTTTCTGTGTGTGTCTCTGTGTATCTTTGTCTGTGTGTGTCTGTGTGTCTCTGTGTCTGTCTCTGTGTATTTGTGTGTCTCTGTCTGTGTGTGTGTCTCTGCGTGTCTGTGTATCTGCGTGTCTCTGTGTCTCTGTGTGTGTCTGTGTGTCTCTCTGCGTGTCTCTTGTGTGTGTCTGTGTGTGTCTCTGTGTGTGTCTCTGTGTGTCTGTGTGTGTCTGTGTGTCTCTCTGTGTGTCTCTGTGTGTGTGTGTGTCTCTGTGTGTCTCTGTCTGTGTGTCTCTCTGCGTGTCTCTGTGTGTGTGTCTCTGTGTCTCTCTGTGTGTCTCTGTGTGTGTGTGTCTGCGTGTCTCTGTGTGTCTCTGTCTGTGTGTCTCTGTGTGTCTCTGTGTGCGTGTCTCTGCGTGTCTCTGCGTGTCTCTGCGTCTCTGTCTGTGTCTCTGTGTGTCTCTGTCTGTGTCTCTGTGTCTCTGTGTGTCTGTGTCTCTGTCTGTGTGTCTCTGTGTGTCTGTGTGTGTCTCTGTGTGTCTCTGTCTGTGTGTCTCTCTGCGTGTCTCTGTCTGTGTGTGTCTCTCTGTCTCTATGTGTCTCTGTCTGTGTGTTTCTGTGTGTGTCTCTGTCTGCGTGTCTCTGTGTCTGTGTGTCTCTCTGTGTCTGTGTCTCTCTGTGTCTCTGTGTCTGTGTTCATGTCTCTCTGTGTCTCTGTGTCTGTGTTCATGTCTCTCTGTGTCTCTGTGTCTCTCTGTGTCTCTGCGTGTCTCTTGTGCCGCGTCTCTCGTCACCACCGCCGCCCCCACCCCGCTCAGGTGCTGCCTGCACTCAGATGGCGGCGCGCGGGGCACGCCGGGTAACGCCGTCACGTGACGCAGGTAACCGCGTCACGTGACGGCGCCCTCCCCCCCACACACACCCGCTCACATCCACCAATCACGTCACAGCCCCCGGAGGGTTTGTGTGACGTCACGCACCTATGGGGGGAGGGGGGGTGTTGAGGAGTGTGACGTCACGCACCTATGGGGGGAGGGGGGGTGTTGAGGAGTGTGACGTCACGCACCTATGGGGGGAGGGGGGTGTCGAGGAGTGTGACGTCACGCACCTATGGGGGGAGGGGGGGTGTTGAGAAGTGTGACGTCACGCACCTATGGGGGGAGGGGGGGTGTTGAGGAGTGTGACGTCACGCACCTATGGGGGGAGGGGGGGTGTTGAGGAATGTGACGTCACGCACCTATGGGGGGAGGGGGGGTGTTGAGGAGTGTGACGTCACGCACCTATGGGGGGAGGGGGGGTGTTGAGGAATGTGACGTCACGCACCTATGGGGGGAGGGGGGGTGTTGAGGAATGTGACGTCACGCACCTATGGGGGGAGGGGGGGTGTTGAGGAGTGTGACGTCACGCACCTATGGGGGGAGGGGGGGTGTTGAGGAATGTGACGTCACGCACCTATGGGGGGAGGGGGGGTGTTGAGGAGTGTGACGTCACGCACCTATGGGGGGAGGGGGGTGTTGAGGAGTGTGACGTCAGGTACCTATGGGGGGAGGGGGGGTGTTGAGGAGTGTGACGTCACGCACCTATGGGGGGAGGGGGGTGTTGAGGAGTGTGACGTCACGCACCTATGGGGGGAGGGGGGGTGTTGAGAAGTGTGACGTCACGCACCTATGGGGGGAGGGGGGGTGTTGAGAAGTGTGACGTCACGCACCTATGGGGGGAGGGGGGTGTCGAGGAGTGTGACGTCACGCACCTATGGGGGGAGGGGGGGTGTTGAGAAGTGTGACGTCACGCACCTATGGGGGGAGGGGGTGTGTTGAGGAATGTGACGTCACGCACCTATGGGGGGAGGGGGGTGTTGAGAAGTGTGACGTCACGCACCTATGGGGGGGGGGGGGGTGTTGAGGAGTGTGACGTCACGCACCTATGGGGGGAGGGGGGGTGTTGAGGAGTGTGACGTCACGCACCTATGGGGGGAGGGGGGGTGTTGAGGAGTGTGACGTCACGCACCTATGGGGGGAGGGGGGGTGTTGAGGAGTGTGACGTCACGCACCTATGGGGGGAGGGGGGGTGTTGAGGAATGTGACGTCACGCACCTATGGGGGGAGGGGGGGTGTTGAGGAGTGTGACGTCACGCACCTATGGGGGGAGGGGGGGTGTTGAGGAATGTGACGTCACGCACCTATGGGGGGAGGGGGGGTGTTGAGGAGTGTGACGTCACGCACCTATGGGGGGAGGGGGGGTGTTGAGGAATGTGACGTCACGCACCTATGGGGGGGGGGGGGGTGTTGAGGAGTGTGACGTCACGCACCTATGGGGGGAGGGGGGGTGTTGTGAAGTGTGACGTCACGCACCTATGGGGGGAGGGGGGGTGTTGAGGAGTGTGACGTCACGCACCTATGGGGGGAGGGGGGGTGTTGAGGAGTGTGACGTCACGCACCTATGGGGGGAGGGGGGGTGTTGTGAAGTGTGACGTCACGCACCTATGGGGGGAGGGGGGGTGTTGTGAAGTGTGACGTCACGCACCTATGGGGGGAGGGGGGGTGTTGAGGAGTGTGACGTCACACACCTATGGGGGGAGGGGGGGTGTTGTAAAGTGTGACGTCACGCACCTATGGGGGGAGGGGGGGTGTTGAGAAGTGTGACGTCACGCACCTATGGGGGGAGGGGGGGTGTTGAGGAGTGTGACGTCACGCACCTATGGGGGGAGGGGGGGTGTTGAGGAATGTGACGTCACGCACCTATGGGGGGAGGGGGGGTGTTGTGGAGTGTGACGTCACGCACCTATGGGGGGAGGGGGGGTGTTGTGGAGTGTGACGTCACAGCAAAATGCACAACTTTTAAAAATGTCAATACGAGCTTGAAGACATGGATTGACCACGCCCGGCCGCCTTTGTCTCCCCAGTGGCGATGTTCACACACACAACACACAAGTTTCAAGTTTCAAGTATTAGGTGCATAGCCCTGTGAGCCATTCGGCTCTTGAATCGGGTGCAACCGCAACAAACAAAAAAATTAACCCGTAAAAACAAAGTTTTTCACTATAAATCCTTTACATGCGTGGCATCGGTTTCATTTTATTATTCATTTCTGTTTTTCTTGAGTAAGAGTTTCATTTTTATCACATTGGTATTTTAAATTAAATATGAAAAAAAAAATTCCTAAACAGTGTAACATTTTGGAAAAAATTTTTCACGAAAATAAATTGTCACGCACAACGAGTCTGTGTGCAAAATGTCAGCTCGATTGGATCACGGGAAGTTGGTTAAAAAACGACCGAAAGATTTGCACGGTCCTAAGCAAGCAAGCGAACTTAATATAAAGGATTAACAAGTATAACCCGTAAAAACAAAGTTTTTCACTCTAAATCCTTTATATGCGTGGCGGCTAGAGTCCTCTCGTCCTCTGGCTTGAGATGGCTGCCACCTATGGGTCAGATGATTGTCTGCCACCATTAAGCAATTGGTAATTAAATATTTAATTTGTTTTCCCTAAACAGTGTAGAATTTTGGAATTTTTTTTCACGAACATTAATTGTCACGCACAACGAGTCTGTGTGCAAAATGTCAGCTCGATTGGATCACGGGAAGTGGGTTAAAAAACGACCGAAAGATTTGCACGGTCGCAAGTGCGCAAGCAAGCAAACTTAATATAAAGGATTTAAAAAATGAACAACACATTCTACTTAATATAATAGAATTGTTATAACAACACAATTTTTATTTATTAATTTTACTTATTAACTAGTTGATTATTTAAATTTACTAAGGTCACCTTTTATTGATTTCGTGAAGGAGCATTTTGCTTCTCCATGGGAGAATGTAAAATCATATTTTTTGTAAAAATGTTGTATTATTGTGATTAAACATTTTGATTCTAATGATTCTAACAGGGCTTTTCATTCTGTCGAATGAATATGCGATTGTTATAATTGCACTCTCCATTTAAGCTTCGTTCTTATACACATTTTCTAGTATTTTTTTATTAGTTATAAATACTTTTAATATTGAATAATTATAAAAGAATTTGGATTTTATATTCTGAACATCTGCAGTTTTAGTTGGACGTTGAATATCTTCAAGTGAATTTTATGCAAAATTTCCGACGTCTCCTTTATAATAAATGTTTTTCTCCTACAACATCAGAGTGCCGCGCCACATTAAATACGCACTACAATGACAATAGTTTAAAGCGATTTGAAGCATGTTTTTTTTGGGGGGGGGGGGCAGAGCTTTGTGACGTCATATTTGAGGGGGGGTCTCACTTTTTGTGACGTCGTGTGACGAGTGGGGGGGAGGGGGTCAAAAATCGTCCAAAATCGCGTGACGTCATTTATGGACGGCCCCTTAAACAGTACTAACACACAGAGTACTAACATACACAGTACTAACACACAGTGCTAACATGTGACTGGTACTTCACGTTCTGCAGATGTAGATGCCACTGGTTCTTCACGTTCTGCAGATGTAGATGCCACTGGTTCTTCACGTTCTGTAGATGTAGATGCCACTGGTTCTTCACGTTCTGTAGATGTAGATGCCACTGGTTCTTCACGTTCTGCAGATGTAGATGCCACTGGTTCTTCACGTTTTGTAGATGTAGATGCCACTGGTTCTTCACGTTCTGCAGATGTAGATGCCACTGGTTCTTCACGTTTTGTAGATGTAGATGCCACTGGTTCTTCACGTTCTGCAGATGTAGATGCCACTGGTTCTTCACGTTCTGTAGATGTAGATGCCACTGGTTCTTCACGTTCTGTAGATGTAGATGCCACTGGTTCTTCACGTTCTGTAGATGTAGATGCCACTGATTCTTCACGTTCTGTAGATGTAGATGCCACTGGTTCTTCACGTTCTGTAGATGTAGATGCCACTGGTTCTTCACGTTCTGCAGATGTAGATGCCACTGGTTCTTCACGTTCTGTAGATGTAGATGCCACTGGTTCTTCATGTTCTGTAGATGTAGATGCCACTGGTTCTTCACGTTCTGTAGATGTAGATGCCACTGGTTCTTCACGTTTTGTAGATGTAGATGCCACTGGTTCTTCACGTTCTGCAGATGTAGATGCCACTGGTTCTTCATGTTCTGTAGATGTAGATGTCACTGGTTCTTCACGTTCTGTAGATGTAGATGCCACTGGTTCTTCACGTTCTGTAGATGTAGATGCTACTGGTTCTTCACGTTCTGTAGATGTAGATGCCACTGGTTCTTCACGTTCTGTAGATGTAGATGCCACTGGTTCTTCACGTTCTGTAGATGTAGATGCCACTGGTTCTTCATGTTCTGCAGATGTAGATGCCACTGGTTCTTCACGTTCTGTAGATGTAGATGCCACTGGTTCTTCACGTTCTGTAGATGTAGATGCCACTGGTTTTTCACGTTCTGTAGATGTAGATGTCACTGGTTCTTCATGTTCTGCAGATGTAGATGCCACTGGTTCTTCACGTTCTGCAGATGTAGATGCCACTGGTTCTTCACGTTCTGCAGATTTAGATGCCACTGGTTCTTCACGTTCTGCAGATGTAGATGCCACTGGTTCTTCATGTTCTGTAGATGTAATGCCGCTGGTTCTTCACGTTCTGCAGATGTAGA